ACAGCAACCCTATGCTTAAAAAAGGAAGGGTAAATTTAGACATCCTAGATAAACTAAGTCAGAATATTCATCACTGGCAGAGCTTCTTTATAAGAAATGCCAAAGGGAGTCCTCTGGGATTAAATGAAAGAAGAGTAGACAGTAAGTCAAATCCACATGAAGTAACAAAGAGCACCATTAAGGTGCTCAATAGATGCAGAAAAGTAATCTGATAAAATCCAACACCCTTTCACAATAAAAACACTCAACAAAACAGGAAGAGAAGGGAATTTTCTCAACTCATGTGTTTCCAAGTTGTTTCTTACATTTACTATTAATAGATACATGGCATCTAGTAAAACCCACAGTTAACACTGTACTTAATGGTGAAACACTGACAGCTTCTCCTTAAGATCAGAAAAAAGAAAAGGCTTCTGGAGGTTTTAGTCATTGAACTGGAGGTTTTAGTCAGAAACTAGGCAAGAAAATGACCTAAAAAGCCGTCCATATTAGGAAGAAAGAAGTAAAACTGTATTTTCAGAGGCCATGATCTTGTATGCAAAAAAAATCCTAAGGAATAAGCTAGAAAACTAACAAAATGAGCAAGTTCAACAAGGTTGCCTGATGCAAAATCAGCACATAAAAATCAATTATATTTCTAGATGCTAGCAATAGACAATTTGAAAATGAAATTAAGAAAACAATTCCATTTATAATAACATTAAAAAGGGTAAAATACTTTGGAATACATTTAATTTAAAAAGCTCAAGTACACTGAAAACTATAAAACATTGAGAAAAATTAAAGACCTAAACAAATGGAAAGACATCTCCTGTTCATGGACTAGAACACTGAATACGTGTTAAGATGTCAGTACTCCCCAAATTATACACAGATTCAACACAACCCCAATCAAATTGCCAAAGGACCTCTGTTTTGCAGAAATTGACAAGCTAAATTTGATATGGAAATGTAAGGGACCCATAATAGCCAAAATAATCTTGAAAAAGAGGAACAAATTTGAAGCACTCACACATTCTGATTTCAAAATTCACTGCAAAGCTACAGTAATCAAAACTGTGGTACTGGCTAAGGATGGACATATAGATGAACAGAATAGAATTGAGAATCTAGAAATAAACTCTCCCTTTATGGGCAAATGATTCTCTACAAGGGTATCAATTTAATGGGGAAAGAAGAATCTTTTCAACAAATGATGTTGGGACAACTGGGTTTCCACACACAAAATGACGAAGTTGGAAACCTTCCTTGCAGCAGACACAAAAGTCAACTCAAAAAGGATCAAAAGACCTAAATGTAAGAGTCAAAACTATAAAACCCTTAGGAGATATTACAGGTATAAATCTTTGCAACCTTGCATTAGGCAACGGTTTCTTAGATGTGACACCAGTGCACAAGCAACCAAAGGGAAATTTGATAAAATGGACACCATCAAAATTTAAAATATTAATGCTTCAAAGGACACTATGAAAAAGGAGAAAAGGCATGTAAGAGAATAGAAAGTATTTGCAAGCCATATCTCTAATAAGAGCTTCATATCCAGAATATACAACGAGCTCATACAACTCCATAACCGAAAGTCAACTAACCCAATTTAAAATCAGTCAAAGGACTTGAACACACTTTTCTTCCAGAAGATATCCAAACAGCAAAAAAAAAAAAATAAAGAAAAAAAAAGCAACAATGGTGAACATTATTCATTAGAATAATACAAATCAAAACCACAATGAGATACAACTTCACACCCAATACAATGGCCACAAATAAAAGGACAACAAGCGTTGGTGAGGATGTGGAGAAACTGGTACTCTCATACATTGCTGAGGGGACTGTCAAAAGGTAGAGCCACCCTGCAAAACAGCTGGGAAGTTCCTTAAAAGTTTAAGCATAGAGTTAATATATGATCCAGCAATTCCATTCCTAGGAATATACCCAAGAGAAGCACAAACATGTTTGCACGAAAACCTATATACAAATGTTCAGAGCGGCATCATTCATAACAGCCAAAAAGCATAAGCAACCCAAATGTCTATAAACTGACAGGTGGCTAAACAAAATGTGGCACATCTATACAGAGAAAGTTATTAAGGCTAAGGAGAAATGAAGTCCTGACAGTGGCTACAACGTGGACGCGCCTTGAGAACTATGTAAGTGAAAGAACCACAAGTCACGTGGTTCCGTTTACATGAAATGTCCATAATAAGGAAAGCCACAGAGAGATTAGTGGCTGCCAGGGGCCAGAGCGAGGGAAGGATAGGACATGACTGCTAGTGGGCGTGAGGTTTCTTTCTGGGGTGGTGCAAATGTTCTGGAATTAGTGGTGATGACTGCACAATGTGTCTCTGTTTAAAGCCACTGAATTGTGTACCTTAAAAGGGTGAATTTTATGGCATGGCATCTTGATAAAAATAATAACTGAAGCCACTTCCAACTGATTTTATCTGTAATCAAAGGAAGGCATGGGATCCCAGGAATCCCAGGGGCCCCCAGAAGCGGAGGCTGGGGCAGCAAGGAGTCTGATCCCGAGTCTCTAAAGCCTGAATCTGCAGGAGCCATTGTCAACTGTTGGTGGTATCCACTGTAACCTCTCACTTGCCTCTGAGAAGCCAAAATTCATCTTCTCTTGATGAGGTGCCAAATCTTCCCCACTAAGCAGGACAGATGCCCTCGCTGCAGCCAGAATCCCATTAGCGCTTTGTTTCTTGACTGCTTTTGTGCCCGGAATATCCCTTTCCTCTCGTAGGAGCTGGCTAGGGCTTTACGACGGTAGGACTGGACAGTCCCCACACAATCAAATAGTCTAGCCTGAAAGTGCATTTAAAACTTGTTTTCCTTTTTCCTCTCTTCTCCTAGTCTCACAATGCAGAAAGCTTACTGCAGAAAACTTCTGTTCTTAGTCTTAAAATATAGCCTTGGAGGCCGGGCGCAGTGGCTCATGCCTGTAATGCCAGCACTTTGGGAGGCTGAGGAGGGTGGATCATGAGGTCAAGAGATCGAGACCATCCTGGTCAATATGGTGAAACCCCATCTCCACTAAAAAATACAAAAAGGTGGTCTGGTGGCTCATGCCTGTAGTCCCAGCTACTCGGGAGGCTGGGGCAGGGGAATCACTTGAACCAGGGCAGCCGAGGTTGCAGTGAGCCAAGATTGTACCGCTGCACTACAGTCTGGCAACAGAGCAAGACTCTGTCTCAAAAAAGAAAAGAAAAAAAAAAATATATATATATATAGCCTTGAAATGTACTTTCTTTGTAACACCACACACCCCCCAGCCCATGCACATTTATCCGTGTGCTGGCATTTAATTATCGGCTTACCTTAGAAGTTCTAGGGGCTCATCCTGAGACAGACCAAGCATGGAGACCAAACTGCACAATGCCAGAGGGCACCTGGAGGCAGTGAGCCTGTGACCAGCCACAGACATGGCGCCAGCCCTCACTCCAGGCGGGCACAACTAGAGACAGCCACCAGAGCAAGAGCCTCAGCCCTCAGAGTGGGCTGGCTGTGGCTTGCGACAACCTCCAGGACGAGACCCTCAGACCTCAGAGCAGAACTCCTCCCACGTGCCTCCCATTCTAAGGTCCCAGTTTGAAGCCTCTCTCCCCAGCCTGCAGTTGGAAGCACAAGTCAGCACCTCACCGCTGCTCGCCTTGGAAATAAAGTCAGTTTCCCTCCACTTGTTACTGGCTTTGCAAGCAGACAGCGGCTGAGCTCATGCTGGTTACACCAGCAGGCCACTACTCAGTAATTTCCAGCAGTCACTCACTCCCATCAGTCGCTGTCTCTGACTTTCTAAGCCCTACTAGGTGCAGGGAATGAAGACCTGGCACCTGGCCTCTGAGGGCTGAGTCTAGCGGGAAACGCAGGAGGAAGAAGTCAAGGAGGAGGAAGAAATGGGCCCGAGGGGCACAAAGCCGGGCACTGCTCCTAAGTTTGGGGAGCTGAGGGGAGAGAAGGGGGACAGGGAAGGTTTGGAAGTCGGCTCTAAGGAAGCCTGGAGCTGTGAGAGGGCATGGCCATCCAGCGCCTCTACCAGTAAGGGCCGCACTGTTCCCTCCTGAGAGTTGCTGTGCCGGCTGCTCCCTCTGTGCTCCTGTCCCCCTCACCCAACAGTGCAAAGAGCCCCTTCACCCTCATTTCCAGAAGCGCCCTCACAGGACAAGGAAATGCATGAAGCCTGTGGTGCATGATGAGGGCTTGGAAATTCGAAGATCTCCACAGCACAGAAGGCCAGTGCCTCACAGGAGGTAGGATCCCAATGTCCTTCACACTCATGGCATCCTGGTTTCTCACGTTCCTCCCCCTTCCCTTTGAATATATTTGACACCTAGACGAGGGCTCTGAAGGGCGCGCCTCCCTCCAGAAGCCTTCATGGGGATGGGGAGTGGCAACACCTCCAGCCCCCACATGCCACCACCGGGTACCTGATGTTCTCACTTCACCCCCCACCCCCCACACTGCTTGAGGGGCTGGAGGGGCTGCCAGCAGATCCTCATGTCTGCTCTGGCTTCTAGTGCAACATTGAAGCAGCGCACGTGTCCCCAGTCAGGACCAAGAGTCTCTGCTGTCCTCACGGCGCCAGTAGTGGACAAGGTCTGCTCCACCTCATGGGCTCACCGCACAGCCAGCCAGTGGCCTGTGCCCTGCCTGTGCCACAGGTTTCTGCAGCGCTATTTCCTCAAATCCAGCCTTGGCAACCACCCAGAATGGCCAGATTCCTCCATGAATCTGGAGGAATCGGATTCCTCTATCAGTCCCCGTGCATGCGCTGCCCAGCCCGTGTGGGAATGAAACCCCTCTGGTAGCTTACGTCACATTCACAGGCCCTCCAGCTCAGAGTCTACTGCCCCCACTAACAGAGAGGAGAGTGTGACCAGAGAACAACACAAAGGCGTTTCCAGCAAACAGAGACCCTGGGAAAGGAAGACAGGCAGGGCGGCGGTCGGCATGGACATGGCTACCTTGGCTGCCGCCTTGAGGTGGCCCGGGCGGCTACTCACCGGGAACCGCTTTCTCGTAGCAGACGCCTTCATAGAAGCAGCACCCGAGCTCCTTGCATCGGTCCCTGGAGACGTTGTAGTCACAAATGTCATACAGAGGAATGTCACACACTGCAAAAGTACAGACACACACCAGTGTCATCCCCAAAAAGAAAGCCGCTCTGTGCTCCGCTGAAGAACCAGGGAACCGGTTGGGGGAGCCGCTGCCGGCTTGTGTTGTGGTTTTGTTATTTTCTGAATTATGCATCATGCAAAGCTTTCTTTGAAACTAAGACCCAGAGTGAATTAAATTTCTGAGCAAAATAATGTCAAGTTAATTACACAGAATAATGCAGGGCCCACTAATGATTAGGAGATAATACATCTCTGTGCAGCAGCGGCAGAGCCCGCACAAGAAAACGGCTCACACAATGGGGACTTGGGAGTTCGGGAGGGAACGTGTGATTAATTCACACTTCAGCACACAGGAGGTAGAATTAGCAGCATGGGCTGAGGATTATTTCAGAATTTGAAAACTTGCATCAAAAGGACAGAAAGTTTAATGCCAGCTTTGACCCACAGGGAGAGGAAAGGAAGACACTGAGTGTGCGGCCGCGGGAGGCAGAGGAAGCAAGCGGGGCAGCTCCTGGCAGAGGACCCTCTGCCGCGGTCTCTGGCAGCCTCACACGTGCTCAGCCCCAAGGGATGTGGCTCCCTCCATTGGACATGGGCCACCGGGGGACTGGGCTGGCTGCTGTGGGGGATTCCTGCAGGTGAGGGCCCAGGGTACCGCAGAGGCCTTTGCTGGGTGAACCGCAGTCCCGCAAAGCCGAGCTCCACGCCCCTGGCCACAGCTTCGCCCAAGCCACTGGAGGTCTTCCCTGGCCCCTCTGTAAGTTGTTCCGTGCGGCCGGGGGCCGGGGGCCAGGAGGGGAGCTGCCTGGCCTTCTGACCCTTGAGGAACCCCATTTGTGATCCTTAGGGTTGATTTCGTCTTTCGTATTAAAGAGTTGCCCGTGGAACCTGCCATTCCTGGTCCCCTTCCCCAGATACCCCCATTTCAGGTTTGCAGATGCCACAGCTGCCGCCTCACCCTCTGTCAGATGCATCGTGTACCTGGGAGCCTTGCCGAGGCAATGCCCTACCTGCCACAGCAGAGTGCCCAGGGCAGGCTGAAGTCACCGCTGCCACCACCCTCTCCTCCCTCAGCTGCACGGGGTGGCTCTGTGTGGCTTGAGCTGACCTCCCACGTTGGGAGCGGCTGGGGGAGCCGGGAAGAAGCCCCACAGCAGCAGGCAGGTCCTGCACAGCCAGGCTCAGAGGGGCCTGTGATCGGTGGCCATTCACAAGCTGTGGCTGGACAGACCGTCGCCCATGCTCCACGCAGCAGCCCATGTGTCTACAGCAGGTGACTAGGAGGGCTTTGCTCCCAGGGCATCCGGGCACCACGGCCTTTTTTCAGGAGTGCAATCCCAGGGTGGACACAATGCCACAATTTCACAGACACTACCCACAGGCCGCTCGCAGAGAATTCAGAGTCCACCACTGCCTCCACTTTCCAATGCGGATCATGACAGCAACAGCACAGCAAACACCCGCCAGCACGCAGCTCGTGATGCCCGCAGGCTCCTTCACCCCATCAGATACCTGTCGGCACCCAGCTCAGGATACTGCAGGCGCCTCCACCCCATCAGACACCCACCTGCGCCCAGCTCAGGATACTGCAGGCGCCCCTACCCCATCAGACACCCCCCAGTGCCCAGCTCTTGATGAGTGCAGGCTCTTCCGCCCATCTGGGAAGATTCAGACGAAACCCAAGATCCCACGAGCTTGGACACAGCAGGGCTGGGACCCACAGTGACCTCTGGCTTCAGGGTCCTGCTCCATCCGTGGTGACAGCCGCCCTCCCCACCATCCCCAGATGCGGGAGAAGCCCCAGTGGCGCAGACACAGCTGCTCACAAAGCCAAGAGAACAAAGGTTTCCAGAGACAGCGGATGTTTAATTTCAGCAAAGAGCCTGGGCAGGAAACATGCTACTGAACCAAGCATCATTTTCATTCTTAAAGTGATTCTCTTCAGTATCACTACATGAACATTCATGCCAACTTCTCCTTCTGAAGGTTTTAATATTTTTAAATAGTAGTTGCTTTCCTGCCTCATTTTAAAAATTCAGTCCCATCGCATCTGACGCCCAGGTGTCGAATCCAGCCAGTCCTCCTGCCTCTTCCCGCATCCCATTTTCCTTCCCTCCACAACCACCGACCTCCTCCTGAACCTCCGCGATGCCGCCATGCATTTTAAAATCCACTGGACCCTGAAAAGTCTCTCAAACATTTCCATCCTAGCCTCACATCCACCCTCCTCCACAACCTGTAATAGGCTTTGAGATTGGAGTAAGGTGAGCTTTCTGGGTGGTACAGGTCACAGCTGCCCACCAAGGGGGCCGAGGTGGGCTTCCCATGTGGTAGGGATTGGCAGGGGATCACACAGCCACCTAGGGGGCCGAGGTGGGCTTCCTACATGGTAGGGGGTTGGCAGGGGATCACACAGCCACCTAGGGGGCCGAGGTGGGCTTCCCACGTGGTGGTTGGTCGGCAGGGGATCACATAGCCACCGAGGGGGCCGAGGTGGGCTTCCCACGTGGTAGGGGGTTGGCAGGGGATCATACAGCCACCGAGGGGGCCAAGGTGGGCTTCCCACGTGGTGGTTGGTTGGCAGGGCTGACGCAGCTCCCCGCTCCCTCTACAACATCACAGGCAAATTGCCCCCTGCGCACTCTCTGGATGCCCAGCCATGGCACTGGCAGCAGTGTCTCCAGCAGGCCCTCCACACCCCCCACACCACAGCCAGGGCAGTCCAAGTGTGGGGCTCACCACCTGGCTCTCTCCTTTGCTCCCCGAGAGTCACGACAGCGTAGCTGGGAAGGAGAGAAGGAGTCGTTGGCTGGGCCAGGCTATGGGAGGAGAGGTGCTGCCTCAGGATGGCAGGGCAACCACGTTCCTCCTGATCTGCTGAAACGAGGCTGGGACGAAGTCTGTCCATCTAAAATGAGCTGAGTGTCTCCTGGAAGGAGCCACCCTGGCTCAGGAGAGCCGGGTGAGGTAGGGCCTGTGAACTGAGGCTTCTCAGCTGGTCCCATGAGTCTGTGGCATCATCTCGTCTGCAGAGAGGGCAAGCCCAGGGAAGCCACCGCTCCCTGGGGACGGTGGGACTCCCATCGCTCTTCGCCCATCCCATATCCCCAGCCTGCCACCACCTGGGACTCCTAACACGCCCATGCCCGCATGGTGGCAAATGTTTGATTGTTTGACAGTCTCTTCACTGGACATATTGCTGCTTCTGCAGCAGGAGAGGAAGGTTCAGGAGGGGGTGGTGCCAGAGAGGCGCAGATCTGAGGCCAGGGCTCTCCAGCCAGGCAGGGCGGCATCACCATTCTAAACGTGGCTGACCATTCCGTGGTGTTTCTCCTTCCTGTGCTCTGTCCTCCTCCCTTCCCCGCTCTCTGTGAAATGCACACTTGCAGGAGTTTTTCCCAGGGGAGGAGCCAAGCCCAGAGATTCTGCAGGAGCAGCACTGGGTCCTCCATCTGACAACCCATCCAAGTCCCTCTGCCACCTCATTTGCCCCCGTGATGAGGCAGTCGGTCGGTTAGCAGGGGACAGACCATGGTCACCTCCTGGAGAAGCAGCGGCAGACTCAGCGCCATGACCTCACAGCACTGTGGAGGCCCCCAGCACTCCTGAAGCTTAGCCTCGCTGTTGGGAGCTGCTCCCCCAGATAGACAGGCATCGGGCTGGCCTCCAGGGGACACCTCCAAGCCACATTGCCCCACAGCCCCCAAGAATGTCCCAGCTCAGGGTTCCTGGCAGCGCAGCTATGGACAGCCAGACCCGACCACAGAGAGGTTTCCAAAGACAATCCAGGTGGGAAGAGAAGGCAAGCTTCTGAGTACAACAGGGACTGCGGCAAGGCTCTCGGGAGCCGTGCCGGGGATCACGGTTGCCACTGGCACCCCAGAGACCATCAGCGGGCCTGGCCCGCACAGCCCTTTCTGTCTGTGAGCTGCGACACCACCTGGAATTCGACTGAATGTGTCTTCACAGCAGATGTCATAATGTAAAAATCTCTGAAACTGCAGACCCATTTTCTTGACACAGAGCTTGAAGCTGCATATCAAGTTATCTTAGGACAGAAGGCGCCAGTTCTCCCAGAGTTTGAGCATCAGAACAAGGAAGGAGAGGTGAGGAGGAGGAGGAGGAGGAGGAAGCTGAGCAGGGATCACAGCGGGTTCAGGAGCTGGCAGGTGTGTGCAGAGGGTCCTGCCTGGCACATGTGTGAATGTGGATGGGGTCTGGGGTGTGCAGGGCCACGGATCCCTGGGATTCAGACACAGAGACCCCCGAGACATGTCCACGGACCCCAGAGCCTGTGGTGAGAGCGCAGAGGCCAGTGGCTTCAAGTCCCCACTCTTTCATACAAGCCACTCAGAGGAGAACACACACTGGTGTGGAAAGAGTGTAGAAACACTTTTGCAAAGAGTTGACATCTGTCTTCAGGCAGCAGCTGAGGCTGCAGCACCCCAGTACAGGCACAGCCGCCAGCCAGGGCGGAGCGTCCGCACATATCTCTTCCCCAGGGGCCGCCTGGCATCCTCCCATCCTCATTTCTGCTCCCGCACCCCTAGGTCACCCACTGCCCTGGGCCATGTGAACCTGGCACCCCGGGAGCCAGCCTCAGGCCATCACCTGCTAGGGGGCTGCCTGGAGGCCCAGCTGCCTCCTGTCCCAGTGAGCGAATGTGGACATGGGGAAGCCCAGCAGAGCTGCATGGAAGGGTACGTGGGCAGGACTCTGCACCACATGGGGAGAGGCTGCAGGGCAGGTGGGCTTGGAGGCCAGTCTATCCCGCACTGGCCACAGAGCCTCTTCTGTATCTGGAAGGTTGTGCAGAGGACAGGAGGAATTGGCTGCTTCTTGGGCTCAGACCCAGGGTTGGGTGGCAGAGAGGGCCTGAGCTATAGGAGCCTCAGGGCCGGCCACTGCAATGAAAGGTTCTGGCTCCCCACCTGCCCACTGGGGCCACCAGTGGTACAGACACCTGAGCCAGCTCCAAGCCAGGACAATGCCAGCCTTGTCATCCATTTCGCAGCCTCCCTATGCCCCTAAAGGAATAGAAACACTCGCAGAACAGTCACACCAAGGTCTGCAACGGATGACAAAGACAGCGTCGACTCCCTGCATTTGTCCACCAGTCCACGAGGACAGGCCATGCAGGAGCACACAGGGGCATTGCCTGCAGATGCCAGGAGCTGGGGGCTGGGCATGGCCATGGCAAGGAGAGAGGACTCCAGCCTGAGGGCAGCTTGGGCAGTGCCCTGGGTGACCTGGCACAACTGAGATGATCCCCACCAGTCCCACGTGCCCTAAGAAGGGGCGCCAGCCTCCAGCAGCCCCCAGTGGCCCCTCAAACAGGTGTGGCCAGGCCCAGTAGCAGCAGCTTGTACCCATAACAGCTGCCATGCTTTTGGCCCTGAAGCAGAGGCCAGGAGGGTATCCCCCACAGCTGGAGAAGGGATGGCTCTCTCCCCATGGGCTTGCCCTGGCTACAGGGCCATCTTGCCAGGAGACTAGAGAGGCCACCCCAGCCAGCCACAAGAGCACCCGCTCCCTTGGGGCCCAGGTGCAGGCCTCCCACTCCACTTTGGGTGCGTCTGGGTCAGGAACTGCAAAGATCCTGCTTATGTCCAAAGATGCAGCTGCCCCTCTGGTGTGACGAAGCCTGGTGGCTGGCTGGCCTTGGAAGGCCTCGCAGGCTGGCAGATGCCACACATTCCTGGCACCTGGGCCTCCCTCTCCTGCTGTGAGAGCTGCAGGGCCTGGTGCGGCTGTGGGCAGGGGGTCAGTGGCTGCCAGCAGCTCTGCCGGCCTGGGAAGTGCTCCCGAGTCTACCTTCCCAGCAAAGGAAACGACCCAAAACAACCTAATCCATTTTCTGTTTTTTTGTTTGTTTTAGAGACGGAGTCTCACTCTGTCACCCAGGCTGGAGTGCAGGGACACAATCTCAGCTCATTAAAACATGTGCCTCCTGGGTTCAAGTGATTCTCCTGCTTCAGCCTCCGGAGTGGCTGGGATTACAGGAGCCACCACCACAACCAGCTAATTCTTGTACCTTAGTATAGACAGGGTGTTGCCATGTTGGCCAGGCTGGTCTCAAACTCCTGACCTCAGGTGATTCACCCACCTCGGCTTCTCGAAGTGCTGGAATTAGAGGCATGAGCCACCGCACCCGGTGAATTTTCTTGTTTTTCTTTCTTTTTTTTTGTTATTATAAAAGCAGTGCATAAATACAAGTTCAATTAAGGAAAAAAAAAAAAAAAAAACAGTTCAAGTAGCAGGTAAGCCTGAGTCATGGAAGGTGGCATCTCCTGCCTCTCCCAGGGAGGCGAGAACTTCCAGAATCTTCCTTTTCCTGGCCCTAAGTTACTGCCTTCCCCCATCCATGTACACTAATAGCTCACGTGGGACAAAGCCACACCCCACACAGTTCCTCCCACTCCAGTGGCGAGGTCTGTTTCAGGGTTGCTTGCCCAGCGGGGAAAGGGAATCAGGAGCTTCTTCGTTGCTGAGACACATTTTCCCCTAAGAAAATGGTCTCTCTTGCAATAAACATTATGAAGCAGTTGAGGTGGCTCTTCAGCGTCTCATGGACAAAATGCCTTTGACCTGTTAACCCCTCGAAATAGTTAAACACAGTTCTTCATTTAGAAAACCTCAGGTTCAGGTGGATTTTGTAATAACATTTCAACAATGAAGACTTCACAGCATTTTCCCAGGTTATTTTCTGAACACACATTTTTCTGCCTTGCCGCCCTAGCCAGGCCTGGGACCGGGACTTCATCCCTGATGCAGCCAGCATTAAGGTGGACACGCGCATGGCTCCTCCCCGGGAAGCAGTTCCTCCCCGCATCCCAGCCTGGGCGGCTTCCCTCCATACCTGTGAACTGCTTCAGGAGGTGCGGCGGGGACTTCTTGACTTCTGGCACATATTTCATTGTCACTGCTGACAGACAGATGCGGGGGCCGAGCAGACCTGGAAAACAGCAGCGGTCAGCAGCCCCAAGGACGTTGTCGGGCAGTGGATGGGTCATACCAGGAGGGAGCGCTCTGTGACTCACCTGTGCCTCACGTCCCAGGCGGGTCCCCTCAGCCACCTGTGCCTCTTGGTCCTACTCCAAGTGGAAAACGCCTTTAGGTAAAACAACAAACTGGCCACCCTCTGTCCACTCACTGTGGACTGTGGGCCCAGGCTGGGCATACCCTGCCCCACCTGCTGTGACATCACACAGCCCCATGAGGTCACCTGGGTGGCACACAGCACTTTAGAGCCATGCGTGTGTCCACCACCTTAATACTGGCTGCATCAAGGATGAACGCCCCTCAGAGGGACAGATGTAGGGAGTTCCAGGTGCAAGACGCTGCTGGGGACACCACGGGCTGGGTCCCACCTTCCATGCGGGACACCCCTGCCCCTTGCCCACCAAGCCCAGCTGTGGGTGCAGGCGCATGAGTCCTCCCTGGGACACCCCTCTCCGCCAGCCAGCACTGGGTGCAGCAGGGAAGAAAACCAAGTCCCTTCCTTCCTGGGGAGGGGGCAGAGTGACACAGCTGCCTTGGACCAGACCTGGGCTGTGGGGAGAAAGGAAGCTCGGGGCATGCATCAGGGTGGGTCAGGGCAGGGGATGCCCCTTGCCACGGGGTCGGGGGGGGCAGCCTCCAGGGAGGAAGGTGCATCTGGGACTGATGAGGGAGCACTCAGAGGTCCTGGGGAGAGACTGATGTGGTGACTTGAGACATACAAGAAGCTGAGATACCGAGGGACAGCAGGTCATAGAACTGCATAGGTCACGGTGAGGATGGTGAGCTCTATTCTGAGCAAAGCAGGGAGCCAGGAGCAGATTTTGTGCAGAGAAATGGGATCATTTTCCCAGCATCACTCCACTGAGCTGGCAATGGCTCTCGGGAAGTGAGCGAGCAGGAAGGATGAGAAGGACAGGAAGCCAGAGAGGAGGAAGGAACCCAGCTGCCAGAGGGGCCAGCTGCCTTTCGTCGCTGGAATTGAAGGAGTGGGCCAGGCATAGTGGTGCGCCCCTGTAATCCCAGAACTTTGGTAGGCCAAGGTGGGAGGATTGCTTGAGACTGGGAGATCAGGGTTCTGGTGAGCAGTGACTGCACCACCACACCCCAGCCTGGGCAGCAGAGGGGGACACGGTATCCATCAACCAATCAATCAGTAAGAGTGGCAGACAGCTTGGACGTGGAGAGCAAAAGGAACAGTTGATGGTGAGGCGAGGACACTGCTTGGGGGCTGGAGGCCAGTGCTGTGGGGGTCAGGCAGACAGGCATCCAGGGGACACACCCAGGAGGTGGTGCAGGTTCAGGGATTCGCAGGCAAGGACACCAGCAGCTGGTAGTGAAAGCCACCAGCATGTGCTTGAGCACCCCAGGGAGCCCCAGTCAGAGAAGGAGCCCAGGGCCAGTGAGAGGAGTAGGAGGCAACCGGAGTCCAGTAGCCGTGGTGCCACAGAGGCCAGAGGGGCTGTGTGGAGGCAGTGGGTGCTGTGTGGGGGCAGTGGGCACCATGTGGGGGCAGTGGACGCCATGTGGGGCAGTGGGTGCCATGTGGGGCAGTGGGCACCATGTGGATGTAAGGGCAGTGGGCGCCGTGTGGAGGTAGTGGGCGCCATGTGGGGCAGTGGACACCATGTGGGGCAGCAGGCACCGTGTGGGGCAGTGGGTGCCACGTGGATGTGGGGACAGTGGGCACCACATGGGGGCTGCCCAGGTGAGCCTGCAAAAACGGAGGAGCTTTGAGGAGTGAAGTGGAGGCAGGGCCGGTGCCGTTAGGAGGGTGAGTGGAGAGGGGCTGCCTGGCTGGACCTGGCATTCACTAGAGCAAAGGCAGAGGTGTGACTTGGGGGCCAGGTGCCAGCATGCTGTGGGGTGACCTGCTGCCTGTCACACCTGGTGGCCCAGGAGGCAGGGTTGGGGAGCTGGATTTAAGAGGGCCGAGGCTTGCAGGGGGCCGTGGTGCTGATGGACTCTAAGTTGGGAAAGAGCACGAGGACATCCCAGGGAGAGGGGAGGGCATGGGACACTCGGCCTTTGGTGGACCGAGCGAGCTGGAGACAAAGTCGCAGTGAGAGTGGGGGTCCTAAGGGTGAGGTGGCTGCACACGCTCGGTTCTGGATGAGGACAAAGCCAAGGCTCCATCCCTGGGAACAAGCAGCTGAGGCCGGCAGAAAGGGGGATCAAGGAACCAGGCTGTGTGGAGTTGGAGTCAGAGTTGGGAGTCCCCACCTCCAGGCCAGAGGGAGGGACGTCCCAGGGGACCAGCCAGACTGCAGGGCCAAGGGTGCAGGAAGGAGAGAGGAGCCTGAGAATGAGGGGCAGCTGTAGCCAGGGGTAGGGGCGTGGAAGGTGGCTCAGCCACAGAGGCACAGAGCTGGTCCCCATGCATCACAGGCTCTGGGGTGCAGCATGTGGGGGGCGCTCAGGTCCCTACTCCTGTGCACAATGAGACAGGCTGGGCTCTGGCCCCCACCTCACCAGTGCTGTGACCTCCCCCTTGGGACCAACCCTCCCCGGCTATTAAAGGAAGGTAACAATGCAGCCCTCCTGGCAAGAGCCCCCTCAGGCCCAATGCCCAGCACACAGCTGTTCCCGTGGCCAGGGGACTGTGATGGCCATGGGGGGTTTACATGGCCTGGACAGGGCTGTCACCATCCACCACGTGGCAAACTTCACCCGTGCACAGGACACAAGATTGCCTGTTTCATGTTTATGATGGCTTTGTTGAAATCTACTTCGTGCACCAGGAAGTCACCCACCTAACATGCGGTTCCCTGCTGTTTAGTGTGTCCACGATGTGAGCAGCCATGGTCCACACTGGAACATTTCATCCTCCCAAAGGAAGCCTGGCCCTCAGGCAGCCACACGCTCCCAACCTAGGCAATCCCCGGTCCACCTTCCGTCTCTCCAGATCTGCCTTCGCTGCCACTTTACATTCATGGAGTCACACGAGACGTAGGTGTGTGTCTAGATTTTTCATGTTGCATAAGGTTCATCCACCATGTAGCATGTGTCAGAGCTTTGCTCCTTTTCACGGCTGGGTAATATTCCACTGCGGGGACTGCAGGAACATGCCACTTTCACTTATCCGTTCGTCTGTGGGTGGGCACTGGGTTGGGCCAACATTTCAGCTTTTATGAAGAATGCTGTTGGGAACACTCAGTGTAAGTTTCTGTGTGGACGGATATATTGACTTCTCTTTGGTGTATCCCTAGGAGCAGAATTGCCAGGTCACACGGTGTGAAGAACTCAATGTTTGTGTCCCCCTAAAATTGACCAGTCAGAATCCCAATCCTCAAGGTGATGGGATTAGGAGGTGAGGCCTTGGGAGGTGATGAGGTCACGAGGGTAGAGCCTCATGAATGGGAATCATGCCCCATAAAAGAGGCCCCAGAGAGTTCCCTCACCCCTTCCTCCAGGTGAGGACCCAGTGAAAAGGTGCCAGCATGCCAGACAGCAAATCTGCCACACCTCCATGTAGACTTCCAGCCCCAGAACTGTGAGTGACAAGTGTGTGTTGTTTAGAAGTCGTCCAGGCTATGGCATTCCATACAGCAGCCCAGACGGACTGTGATATGTGGGAACTGTTTCACCCTCTGAGGACCTGCCAGGCTACTGTGCAAAGTGGCTGCACCATTTCACATTCCTGCCAGGTAGAGGCACTGCTTCTATCTCCTTGGAACTGTCACCTACAGCAGGCACCAACCTGGGCAGCAGTCAGCTGGAGAACCATGCCATCAACAAGCTTCCAGGGAAGGAGTGGAGACACATGAGCCTGCAGTGTGGTTATTGCTAGGATTATTGCCAGTATTGCCAGGATCACCACCAGGATCACTGCCAGGATCATAGGATCAGAACCAGGATTGAGCCAGGATCATTGCCAGAATCATTGCCAGGATTGAGCTAGGATTACTGCCAGGATCACTCCCTGGATCATTGCCAGGATCACTGCCAGGATCACTGACAGGACTGAACCAGGATCACTGCCAGGATTAAGCCAGGATTACTGCCAGGATCATTGCCAGGATCACTGCCAGAATCACTGACAGGACTGAACCAGGATCACTGCCAGGATCACTGACAGGACTGAACCAGGATCACTGCCAGGATCACTGACAGGACTGAACCAGGATCACTGCCAGGATTAAGCCAGGATCACTGCCAGGATCATTGCCTGGATCATTGCCAGGATCACTGCCAGGATCACTGACAGGACTGAACCAGGATCACTGCCAGGATCACTGACAGGACTGAACCAGGATCACTGCCAGGATTAAGCTAGGATTACTGCCAGGATCATTGCCAGGATCACTGCCAGAATCACTGACAGGACTGAACCAGGATCACTGCCAGGATCACTGACAGGACTGAACCAGGATCACTGCCAGGATTAAGCCAGGATCACTGCCAGAATCATTGCCTGGATCATTGCCAGGATCACTGCCAGGATCACTGACAGGACTGAACCAGGATCACTGCCAGGATCGCTACCAGGATTAAGCCAGGATCATTGCCAGGATCACTACCAGGATCATTGACAGGACTGAACCAGGATCACTGACAGGATCATTGACAGGACTGAACCAGGATCATTGCCAAGATCACTGCCAGGATCATTGACAGGACTGAACCAGGATCACTGCCAGGATTATTGCCTGGATCATTGCCTGGATCATTGCCTGGATCACTGCCTGGATCATTGCCTGGATCACTGCCAGGATTACTGACAGGACTGAACCAGGATCACTACCAGGATTAAGCCAGGATCACTGCAAGGATCACTGACAGGACTGAACTAGGATCACTGCCAGGATCGCTACCAAGATTAAGCCAGGATCATTGCCAGGATCACTGCCAGGATCATTGACAGGACTGAACCAGGATCACTGCCAGGATTAAGCCAGGATTACTGCCAGGATCACTACCAGGATCATTGACAGGACTGAACCAGGATCACTGCCAGGATCGCTACAAGGATTAAGCCAGATTACTACCAGGATCATTGACAGGACTGAACCAGGATCATTGCCAGGATCACTGCCAGGATTGCTACCAGAATTAAGCCAGGATCATTGCCAGGATCACTGCCAGGATCATTGATAGGACTGAACCAGGATCATTGCCAGGATCACTGCCAGGATCACTGACAGGACTGAACCAGGATTGCTACCAGGATTAAGCCAGGATCACTGCCAGGATCAT